AAAAAAAAAACAACGCACCGCGCACAGTGCGCAGCCCTGTGCACCACCGCATCTCGGTGCGCTGTGCGCCCAGTGCGCGCGCGTGCGCACATGCGTGTGCGGTGCCCCTGAGCGCATCCAGCACGGCGCACCGCACCGCATCGCGCACCGGGGCAGTGCGCCGCAACTATGGCCAATACCCATTGGCTCTGAACAAGCGTTGCCAGTGGGTCTGACGGGCTACCCACGATGTGCAATATAAGACAATTTAGGGATCAGTGTAAGGTCACAGGGCATCTGCCTGCTTCGTTGTGGAATATAGCCAAAAGTTTGTGCGCAATGGAAGTCTATACTTGCCACACAGCATGGAAATGCAACATGCTCCTGGGACCCAATATAGACAATTTACTAATTTAGGGATCAGTCAAATGAATACACCTGCTGCGCATCTGTGTGCACTAAAACATCCTCCGAATGGAAAATAGGGACTTCAACATGCAGTATGCAATCCGAAGAATGAAGGTCTGCTCTCTCTCTCTCTCTCTCTCTCTCCATGGACATGGACATGGACATAATAATTGCTCCTGCTGGAATTTGGAGGGGCATCTGGCTAGCTTGAATGTGGAGGGAGTACGAGGGACCATTACCTGGTTCACATAGGTTTATAATTTTGTGCAGTGGAGTGAGGCCCATGGTCTGAAGTCTCGAGAGTGATCATGGAATGTCTCTGAAGGTTGACAGTCATATGTACCACTTGTCCATACCAGTCTTGCATTCCTTCTACCCATGCGTACCTGTTTGACTATTCCCCATCTGCGCCACTCTGCGATAACCAAGCAAAAGCAGTCCTGATTGGTAAATAGCAGACACAGGGTCGCACACGCACACGAAAAGAAAATAAAAAAAATCAGAGACGGGATCGTGCAACGAGTTGACAGCCAAGCAACCGTGCAAAGAGAGAGGATGATGAAGAGGGTAAATGAATTTCGACGCCTTTCGGGACCAGGTGCATTCGGCGGGTAAATGCAAAAATCAGAAGAGAGAGAAGGGATGAAGAAGAGAGAGATCCAAAAAACAGAAGAAAGGGGAGCAAGCTCGACAAAGGGCGTCGCTCGCTCCATTACTCGCTCGTTCTTAATTGCATGTCGATGCCTTTTGGGACCAGGTGCATTTCGAGGAGTCCAACATTCTGAATGCATTGGGACAATTATGAGCTCCAGATTCATATAAATGGAGGGCTGTGTAGTGGACACAAGGCCCTCAGCTCGTACGAAAGAACTTTGAAGGAGGAGGAAGAAAGTAACCAAGGGCGTACTCACACTAGGCCCTCAAAAAAATTGCAAAATCCCAAAATGAGCGGCCAGATCTAGTCCTTCCTTTACAAAGGACTCGATCTGGCCGCTCATTTAACATGTGGGAATGTACCAAACAGTTTGGGAAAAATCCCAAAGGCCATCGTACGTTATTCGCATCCCTGGTCACCTCCGCACACACCCTGTTTTCCATGATGCATCCAAGTTGGCCCCTTTCGCTGAAAGCGAACAGTTTCCCTCCAGGCGATCAATGCTGCCCCCAACCATGGATGGACGCGTGGTCGTTGACAAAATTGTTGAGCACAAGCCGATGCCTGTGCCCAAGCCTCCAGGCAGGGGGCGCCCTCCTAAACCGCAGATGCAGTACCAAGTGCGGTTCAGACACCATACTAATCCTCAAGAAGATCGATGGTTCACAAGAGAAGAGCTAATGAAGACTGCTCCCCAAATTATCTCAAGTTTTGAACGGAACTTGAAAGGGAAGCAGCCTGCTGTGTAACGACCTCTCAGAGGACTATCGAAGTAAAGGAGGAGGGAGTCTGAGGGTTTATGCCTCGGCATAGGGTCCTGCAGCAGGCGCATGCCCGCCCTAAGTGAAGGCTTGCCCCCTGATTCTCAATGCGCCCTGAACAGGCCACGCGCAGGGAGAGAGGAAAGAGAGACTGAGGTGGGAGGAAGGGAGAGAGGACAGAGAGACAGAGGTGGGAGGAAGGGAGAGAGGAGAGAGAGACAGAGGTGGGAGGAAGGGAGAGAGGAGAGAGCGACAGAGGTGGGAGGAAGGGAGAGAGAGACAGAGGTGGGAGGAAGGGAGAGANGAGAGAGAGACAGAGGTGGGAGGAAGGGAGAGAGAGACAGAGGTGGGAGGAAGGGAGAGAGAGACAGAGGTGGGAGGAAGGGAGAGAGGAGAGAGAGACAGAGGTGGGAGGAAGGAAGAGAGAGACACTGAGACTTGCGTCTATTTTTCAAATCTTGGTTGGCGCCAGACAGTTGCCACGCGCCAGTTGGTTACATCCGCCTTGCTTTTGAGAATCCAAAATATATTTGTGAGCCTCACGTCTGTGCCTGGGTGGTTGGGCATGCCTAACCAATTCGGTCCCAGGGCGTTGTCTGAACGGGCCTGGGCGCAGACACTTTGGCCAAGACTGAAGCTACTGGAAACTCGGTCTCACATGGGAAGCAAGTGGGAAAGCGCCCGCCACTTTCCATGTAGGAAAGGGATGGGCTCCGGTCGAGATATTCGGGCACTTGCAATTGTGGGTGGCAGCGCTGCTGGAGCGATTCGCTCGCGGGCTGCTTGCTGCGCTAGTCCTCCTGCTGCGTGCACGCGCGGACGTGCGGTGTGAAGGGCGTGATGGAGGGAAGACGTGGGTAGTAGAAGTCGAGGGTGAGAGAGAGAGAGATGAGGTTGTGATGTGAGGGCACTTACATGGTCTTGGGGATGGTCTACAAGGTCGACATCTTCACGTACTACGGTCGTTGCTGCTGACGTCAACAGGATGCATTGTCAATTCGTATGCTGCTAGTAGCCGTGGGATCGTAGTCTGGGCGCTGAGCGCCAAGTAGGAGGAAGGGCGCTGGATACATATGTTGGTGAGGACGAGAGTATGCTCTCATTGACATTCGGACTCAGTGCTTTGGTTCTCCTTTGGTGGAATATCGGTGCATTTCTGCTTTCTGAACAGCGTTGGACTTCCTGGCTTTCAATGTGATTTTGCACTCTGGATTTCTGTCATTTCGCCATCGCTCATTTTCCTTGCACCTGGTTTTTCTTGCTCTTTTCTTTTTTTGCCTCCTTTTTCTTTTTTCTTCCTCCTTTTTTCCTATTTTTTTAATAAAATAAAAAACAATAAAAAATCCATCTATTGCTGGTTTTTCTTGCTCTTTTTTTCCTTACATCTTTTGCCGCAGCCGTTGGGCTGAGCAAGGCACTCCGGCCAAGCAGAACCCTAACCTCAGCATAGCAAATCAACTCGACCTATAGGTAGAAACTATTAGAAACCCTTAACTCGTCTTCTCGCTCCTTATTTTCGGAATCAGTCGTTGACAAGTCGCAAATGCGGTCTCTGAGTAGGTAATTATTACTAATTATTAATTACTAATTAAATTAAATTAATCGTATTATGTTGTGTCACTTGTGTGGCTGTGGTGTAGGTGTGGGCGCCTTGATCTGCCGGACTGCGATGTGAAGGCTATGTACAATAGCTTGCAAAAGGTTCTTGCTAAAATGGGTGATGATGTAAGGTAAGGTATATAATATTATAATTAGTGATTAGTAATTACTATAAAATAATATTAAAATTAGTATAAAATTAGTATAAATTGAGCCAGCTTGAAGTTGAGGTGGTAACCATGGGGCCTCTCTCTCTTGGTGCTACACAAGGTTCTGCATGTATCTGGACGGCATTAGGCCATCTGTGGGCTCTTGGTGCTACACAAGATTCTGCATGTATCTGGACGGCATTGGGCCATCTGTTCCAAGTGCTCTTGCCCTTGGATTTTGAAATGGCCCTCAGCGCAAATAATCCTGCTTCCTTATCTTGTCGAACATTTCACTAAAAAAAAAAAACAAAGTGCGAGCCGCGTCTGTTGCACAGGTCAAAAACTACATTCCAATCCCTCCCCCCCCTCCCCCTCCTTCAGGTGCCGTGCCGAAAGGCCACTGAGAATATCTGGAAGGCGTCAGTTCCGCTTTGCCGCCTTTGCGAATGACATTAAAAAAAAAAAAAAAGGGAAAGCTTTAAGCTTGGGAAAAAAATTGTTTGAACTTTCAGTTATATTAAATATATTTAACATTTAGGATTTTTTTAACTTGACGATGTATATACATATATAAACTATGAATCATCTCGGTAGGCCATCAAGGACCGGGGTCGATCCCTGGATGTCTGGACACACCTGATGGTCATTCGGAAGGCCGGTTTTTTTTCTTTTCCTTTTTCTTTTTTAACTAAGCTGCGCTTTTCTCTCTCAGATATCCCCTACCGACCCACATCTACCTCGCCAGGGTGACATATATCAAGCAGGGGCTATAAACAGAGTTACATCTGCCAAGTAGGGGCTATAACCACAGTTACATCTGCCCAGCAGGGTTAACCAAAGTCTACTGGCCATGTAAACTAACCCCTCCAACTATGACTGGCGGGGGGGCGAAGGCCTCCGGGGGGAACCCAGGACCCTACCAAGACCCAAGTAGGGAGGGCAAGCCCGGAATTTATTATTATTATTGACATTTGTTTTTTTTGTAATTGAAGGTAAAAAATTAAAAATCACAAATGATAAATCATAAATGTTGGATCTGTGTTATCCTGTTCTGCGGATATGTGTTATCCTTTTCTAGTAACCTCTGACTCTTTTTTTTTTGTTTTTTGTTGTTTTTTTTTTTGTGCAGGGTTTTCCCAGGGCACGACTATGGTGGTGCACGCACAACGATCGCTTGTGAGCGGCAGCGGGGTTATTTGAAAACCTTGTCGGAGGATGAATGGATGCATATGCACTGTCCGCCTGAGAAAAGAGCAGCCTGACTGACTTGCTCTCGCTCTCGCTCTTGCTCTCGCTGTCAGATACACAAAAAACGTGCTCTACCATTTTAAGACTGAGGTGCTTGGCCAGACCACACAAGCAGTTCCCCCTACGCTGCGAAAGATGAGTGGATTGTTCACACCGATAGAGTAGGGAAGGGTGATGGTTTTCACCGACGCTTTATCTATTCTTTAGCTGTGTTTGTCAGAAGAGCAGCAACGAATAACACGCTCCCCTATATATATCATATCATATCATATCATATATATATATACGTACGTCTATGTTTGTGCCGTCCACATCCTCCATTGCATGGTGCAGATTTGTCAGGCATTGTGCAGATTTGTTGCATAGTGTAGGCTTGCCAGGCATGCGCTTTGGCGGAAGGGGGAACACCTTTACAGGGGAAGTAGCACTCCAAGAAGGAAGAGGCGAAGGGATTTAAGGGACAGGCTTGACACGGATAACAACCACCAGCAGGCCTTTATCCGATGCGAGAACGAAGAAGGAAAAATGTATTGTGGCCACAACGTCATGCAGATTAATAAGTTCTGCCGAGGAGAGAAACTCAGGACAAGTAATCACGGGGCTGCAGTTGAAGTGATCTAACTGCTATATGAAGGCATGCAGAATGCTGAGAATGGACCATTAAGTGAAACACTGCCCCAGCCAGGACAGCAACTAAGTGGCGGTCCCATGGACGGGCCTCGTGGACTCCTGAACACTCGTCTGTTTCGGGACTTGTGTTTGCAGGTAGGATGAAGGGAGGGGGGAGGGGGGGAGGGGGGGAGGGAGGGAGAGAGGGAGAGAGGGAAAGGGAGGGAGGGAGGGAGAGAGGGACAAAGGGAAAAGGAGGGAAGGAGGGAGAGAGGGACAGAGGGAAAGGGAGGGAGGGAGAGAAGGACAGATGGAAAGGGAGGGAGGGAGGGAGAGAGGAACAGAGGGAAAGGGAGGCAGGTAGAGCATGGGCAGCAAGATTGCCTTGAAAAAGGGACTGGATGGGAGGGAGGGAGGGACAGAGGGACAGAGGGACAGAGGGAACGGGAGGCAGGTAGAGCATGTGCAGCAAGATTGCCTAGAAAAAGGGACTGGATGGGAGGGATGGATGGAGGGAGGGAGGGAGAGAGGGAGAGAGGGACGGTGGGAAAGGGAGGCAGGTAGAGCATGGGCAGCAAGATTCCCTTGAAAAAGGGACTGGATGGGCTGTACACAGCAAGGAAGTTTCGATGGCTGAAAAGTGTGATGGACGACAATGTCGGCATTCGACAACGGCCCTCCTACAAGATGTGGAGATGGCAGGAGATGGGAGAAGGGAGAGAGAGAGACAGAGGTGGGAGGAACGGAGAGAGGAGAGAGAGACGGAGGTGGGAGGAAGGGAGAGAGGAGAGAGAGAGACAGAGGTGGGAGGAAGGGAGAGAGAGACACTGAAACAGAGAGGTGGGAGGAAGGTGGAGTGAAGAAAGGTCTCAAAGGGGAAGTTTAAGGTGCAAGATGATGAAAGGTTGTGTGCAACGAGGAGGATTTAAGTCACTGCCGCTTTCATTTGCCAGGTCGAGCCCTGAAAGTTGTGATGCGTTAACAGCTGCGTAGGAGAAATTTGGCTCGGAAACGCACCGGTGGTTTAAAGGTTGGAATCACTGAGAGAAAAGGTACCAACTTCACACAACGTGATACAACCTGCCCTCTTGTGTTTACACTCAAACCTCTACCTTCCCTCTCAGTTGAGCGATTTTGGTTCTTCATTCAGCAGAAAAGTGTACGGGTATGATGGAGTTGAAGTTTTTCGTGTGCGATTGCTGATTGCCAAAAATCGCTACGATGACGCCGATCGGGAGCAATGGTCCGCTCACAAACTCAAAGGAGACAATTGAATCCATTTGCTGCTTACAGGCGACGCGCCAGCACGATCGCTCGCCAAAGCTTGCTGTCGACAGGCCCTGGTCGACCGTTCCGTTGAGAGGCAACATCTGCCTGACCGCTCACTGGAGCTCGCTTTTGAGAGGTTCTAGTCAACCCTTTTGAGGGGCAACATCTGCCCGATCGCTCACCGGAGCTTTCTTTTGAAGGTGTTGATTGTATCACTCAACAAGCAACTGCTTAGGATAACTGCTGAAGTTTCGGAGGTGCCGGTCGGCGGTCGCGTGTTTAGGGTTCCGAGGTGTCAACCACATGCTAGTACTAGAAAGGTGGTCCAGATACATGTCGGGAGCTTCTTGATGGGTTCCGTTTTGCAAGTGAAAGGCTTCGGCGGGATTACTGGGGCGGTTGGCAACGGATGCAGTACTGTGTCTGTCAGGAATGGCAGCGATGTGGAAGTCGCGGAGAGGGCTCCAGAAGGCAGGAAGCCGTGTGCACTTTTTTTTTTGACTCATTCAATTTGATCGGTCTGTGTATAATATATCGGGCACGTGATCTGTTGTGGGGTAGGGTGGGGTGGGGTGGGGTCGGGTGGTCAACGTGTTGACTGCATGTGTAAAAGATGCAATCAAGGGATGCTGTCAGTTGTGTATTGGGAAACACAGTCCTGCTACCGGTCATGTGATCTGTCGATGATTGATCGTGTCGATGCGCCACACGCGGAGCGAAGGTGATTGAGGCAGTTTGTGCAGCGGTAGCTGTCCGAGTAGAGCACAGTCGCATCCGCAATGTTTCGTAATGAAATGCGTCAGATCTTTCCTACAAATGCAGCCAATGCAATCACAACAGTGTCTGTCCCCGCACTCTCGACGTAAGATGCCTGCCCGACGTAAGATGCCTGCCTGCCTTTTCTACTGCGCAAGCAATCCGACGATAGCACTCTTTGGTAACGGTGTGTGCCGTGCGGGTCCTGCGTCAGATGGGCCCCTGAAGATGGGCCCCTGAAGAAGGGGCATAAGACCCCCTGGGGTACTGGTGGTTGGTTTAAGTGGGGTGCAATGCGATGGCACTAACAGCGATTCGGGAATGAGCACGAACATGAATGTCGCCCATCCAGAGGTGCACTCTGAGCTTGGTTGTGGCCCTGGGCTTGACCTGCTCATGTCAGCAAATGTCAATCCGCCACTCAGTCAACAACCTACCCTCAACGTACGCGGATTGCGGGCCCGTTGCTGTGGCGGACAATGAGAGAGGGGGAAACATTGGGAAGGAGGAGTGAAGGCCCTCGTATTGCGCAAAGGCAGATCGAGGACCCGGGGCTAACATCCCCGAGGAGAATCGGAGCACCTTACACTGAGCCCTATTTGGAGAATGTTTTGAAGTCAGCGGCTGCCTTTAGGTATATGCCTTGTTGCAATGCAATGGCTTTGAGCAACCGGTCGAGGTATACGCCTGCGGGAAGTCTGCAGATGCCTACGTCAGCTACGTGCAAGTAGTACGTTTGCTGAGGGTCGAAAATGATGTGGAGAATGAGGAGTGAGGGCATGTTTGCTAATGGGTCAACTTACGCAGACCCTCACTAATGTTCACTAATGGGTCTGCTGATGCCCCAGCTCCGCTTCCAACATGGTTGCTGCATGTTCTGATGTGACCAGTCGAGCAGTCGCAGCAGCTGTTCAGACGATGATAAGCTTGTCTGCCGAGTTTCATTCCACTTGAGCACACACACACACACACACACACACACACACACACACACACACTCGTCTTCTTCTTCTACCTCGTTGTCCTCCTACGCCGCCGCCGCCTCCTCCTCCTCCCCCTTGTCCATCGCCATGGGACCCTCTTCGTCATCGTCATCATTCCCCTCTTTTTCCTCCTCGTCGGTCTCATCATTGTCATCCTTGACCATCGCTGTGGCTGCCTACACAGACACACACACGCACACACACACACACACACAGAGAGAGAGAGAGAGAGAGAGAGAGAGAGAGAGAGAGAGAGAGAGAGAGAGAGAGAGAGAGAGAGAGAGAGNAGAGAGAGAGAGAGAGAGAGAGAGAGAGAGAGAGAGAGAGAGAGAGAGAGAGAGAGAAGCATTGGCGAATTGAAAATGCTGCATGTGAAATGAGAGAGAGAGAGAGAGAGAGAGAGAGAGAGAGAGAGAGAAGCATTGGCAAATTGAAAATGCTGCATGTGAAACGATAGATGCAGACTCCAAAGCCATTTTACCAACTTCAAAAGTTTTGAATGGGAGTGATGGACATTTAGGACTCTGATCGCATTATTCCATCTCCCAATTATTCCCCCTTCTGGTCACCGCCGCCTCCTTGATGACACACGTTTTCAAGTTTTAACATATTGTTCATCACTCCCTGAGTCTTGAAATCTCTCAATTATTGCCCACTACACCCTACCTCTAAGCCCGCAAGTTCTGCCTGCTCAAGTTGCATTGATCTGTCTCGCTCTTCTTGAGAAACTCATAAATCTTGGTGGTATTTATTGCACTAGTTGAAAGAACATGCCCATAATCGCGCCCAGATGCACCCAAGAATATGTGATGTATATGTACAGGCAACTAAGCTATGGGCAGATATAGTTTGAGCAATGAGAGGTGTGTAAATGGTCCATCATTTTTTTTTTTGTTTCAATGTGGCCGATTATTGTCTTCCCAAGCTAGCTTTGTATTGTGAAAAGTCAATTGGACATATGCCTGGGAAGCCAGGGATTCGATTTATTTCTGATTGGTGATATTTTCACATTTGCACTCAATGAACCTGGCCATAATAGCGGCCAGGTTCTTGGTTTCCTAACGTGAACATAGCACTCGTGGAGCCTGGCCGTTATGTATTTCTTCACATTGGGTAAAAAGCAGTCAAGAGGGTGGCTTTTCACAGTGTTTTCTTTTCTTTTCACTTTTTTTGGGGGACAAGGAGAGTATACATACTGCTCATGATGTAAACAAGAAAAGTAAAGCGACAAAAAAATCATACTGCCATACTGGTCATTATGTATGTATTCCAATGGGATAGAGGGGGGAAAAGGTGGTGTGTACTTTTGAACACTGTGTCCTGGCTGTAGTGGTTAAGATACCTGGCTCTGGAGGCTGAGGACGCCGGTTTGAATCCGTGCTTGCACTGAGGAGGAGGGCTTAGGCTCAAATGTGCATATCCGTTTGCTGCTGTACTTAACCAACAACATTTTCCCCCTTGCCAAGGGAA